AAGTTAAGCAAGTGAATTACCCTATCTCCGTGCTCATCAGTAAGGAAGATAGGAAAAAGAATGCGATCATTATTATAATTGAATACAAAAGAATATGTGGTGTATGTGAATGTCAAAATTGCAAGAAAAATCCAAAAGATTGTGTTAAGTAAGAGTGAAATACTTCAAAAAATGTATTTTAAACAACTGCTGTAAAATTTGTTGCCATTTGTGCAATTACGTATTTTATAGTTTATCCCACGTAGATTATCCTAAGTTTCATGTTTTCGTCGTGCTTAAGTTGTTGTTGTCATCTTTGTTTTATGATAGTACCAAACTTTTCAATTACAATTAATTTCTTACAGGAAATGAGTGCCTCAGTGGAAACCGAGTCGACCGCGCCAGTGAGAGAGGAGGATGAACGCAATAGGTTGAAGGTACGCATTGCCACTATTATTATTATCATTATCATTATTATTATTATTATTATTATTATTAAAGAATGGGACTTTGTTTTGTATATTTGTTAAATAGTGACGTGGGTGTGTTCGCGCAACTCGCTAATGAGAATAGTAGCTGAGGTACGCGTGTGAGCCCAGGGGTATTCAAGGGAAGTAGTCACGAGAATTTCGAAGAATTTATTCGAAGATTCAGTAGGAAGTATAGAACAGTGATATTCGATGACAAGACATTACTAGACATAATGGTAGATGATCATCTGGAAGGTAGGGCCAAGTCGGTGTTTTTGTCATTACCAACTAGTGTGAGAGAACAGGGTTTTGATGCAGTAGTGAGAGAACTGAGAAAATTGCTGGCAAATGATTCAACGGCGGGCCGATTGAGGGCACTGACCGAACTGAGGTGCCTTAAGCGAAGGTGGGGGCAGTCCGTCTCAGACTTCTGTGTCGTTCTCGAGAAATTGGGGAGGCAAGCGAATCCTGCTTGTAGCATAAGGGAAAGGTCTCTCGAGTACGCACAGATACTGCTGGACAATTTGACGGATTGGCCAGAACATGTCCACCTACTAAGCACGTTGCACCGGGTAGACCCTACAGAGGCGTATGATGCAGTCAAGGAGTTGGCCTTAACCATTGAACAGTCAAGGTGCATGTTGGCCCCGAGTGGAAATACCCGCAAAGATGGATGGAAGAGAAGGTCAGCGGCGTACCATCAGGAAGAAAGAAAACGGGATCCCGAGTCAGGAGGGCTCAGGGATGTAGTGAGTAGCGAGGTGAAGCCAAGAAGTGGTTTCAGAGAAGGGATTAGCCGAGGGGAGGCAAGATATTCCACACCTCACGAGGAGGTTAGAATGAGCGATACGAATGGAGCGCCTGTGAGAGAACAAGGGAAGATATACCAGGGGACACGGTGAGCAAAGGAGGTGTTACAATTGTCAAAAGGTTGGACACATAGGTAGGGATTGTCCACTAAAGAGACCCTCAAGTCAATCAAATCGCGGATGAAACCGCAAAACGGAGTACGTCACCTCAGGAGTCAGCTACAAAGAAAGAAACGACGCAACGTCGTCCGGTATCATCGATTATTAGTGCAAGGAGTTTAGGAGTGAAATGTGGTTTCATTTGGCAAGGAGGAGACGCCACGTAGTAGGGATATCATGACGGTTGAGACTAGGTTACTGAACATGAGAGTCCCAGCAATATTAGATACGGGCTCTGTGGTAAGCATCATCCCAGTGAGCATACTGGCAAAGGCACAAAAAGCAGGTTATAATGTGGATAGCTTGGAGGTGATCTCTGATGACTCAATCATTCCGGTGTTCGATGCGTCGCGTAACCGCATGGCCTTTTTGGGTGCGGTCAAAATAGCGGTAGAGCTGGAGTCAGGCAATAAGGTAAGGTAGCCTTCCACATTGTAGATGATAAGGAGGCTGAAATACTCCTTGGCACAAATGCTCTCTGGGAAGTTTGGGGTCTAGGTGCTCTTGCCACTCAGGATCCTATGTCGAAAGAGATGCGTGAAAGTCGTGGGTTGGCAGCGAAGTAATAGCTTCGATATGGAAAGCACTGGTCTCAAGCCGTACGAGGGAATATTGATGTGCATCAGCATGCTTCTGGCCACTCAAAGAGGGTATTGCTCTGTGTATTCACAAATGCAAACCATGCTGAGCAGTGGCGCTCTGATAAACGATAGTGAAGAACCCCATGATTTTGAAAGAAGGGGAGGAATTCGGTCATTGGGGAACCGAGAAATGGCGAGAAGGAGTAGAGGATTTCAGACCACTAATGATGGACAGTGGAATACATGATCTTACGGCGGAAGAGAGGAAGAAATTGCTGCATAGTCAAGTTAACAGAGTTACGGGAGGAGCGACAGCTTAAGTGATGAATTTGAAAGTGTCCTTAACGCATTTTCTCGAGACTTCTCTGGCCTTCGATCGGGAATTGACAAGGACGGAATAAGAGGTGAAAATGATATTACACGAAGAACATAAGCCAATTAAAGATGAAGGCGCGACCAGTTCCTTTGGGAGTACGAAAGAAACTGAAAGAACTACTTGCTGACCTGGAAAGTAGGAAAATTATCGAGAAAAGCAGTTCGGAGTGGGCTTTTCCGATTGTACTGGTGGAAAAAGATGGTAGCTTAAGGCTATGTGTAGACTATAGAGAGTTGAACAAGAGGATTGAATTGGACTCGTATCCCCTACCGAGAATTGACGCAGTCCTCCAGAGTTTATCAGGAAAGTCGTACTTCTCGACACTCGACCTGTGCAGTGGGTACTGGCAAATTCCTCTGACGGACGAAGCGAAAGAAAAGTCGGCTTTCACAACAACGGAAAGGCCTCTTTCAATTCACTAGTGACTCCCTTTGGGTTGAGTAACACCCCCCCCCTGTTCCAGTTATTGACTGTCGTGTTTCTACGACTCTCTGGTCTCCGAGTTTGTGTTTGCTTAGTACGTGTGCGACAGATATCATTGTCTGCACATGCTTGAATTGTGATGGGTAGCGCGAGAGAGCACGTCGACTTGCAAAGAGTGTTGTGCAAGGGTTTGCTTCTAGGAAGCAGGTGGCGGCGCTAATGGCCAGATAGTGCTCTGATTGCATATAGTAGTGTGTTGCGTTTCTTGCAATATTCGATCAGCAGGGCATTCCCACATTTGATCCAGGAAAGAGTGAGCGCAATAGCATGAACTATGTTCGATTGTACGCCAAGTAGCTGTGATAGAGTATTGTGTAGGATTTTTGTCTTGCTTGTTAGTTAGTGCGTCTGGGTGTGTTTTTATTAGAAATTATCTTTGTTCTCTGTGGATTTCGCAAAGGTGTCTCTAGTTTTTCTTCTGTCTTACTCTCTCCCATAGACGTTCATTCTGAATTGGGATAATGAACATCAGACAGCTTTCGAGAACTTGAAAAAGATGATTTCTTCTGCTCCGGTCTTAACCCAGCCTAACATTGAGAAAGCAAGAGATGGATCGAGACCGTTTGTAATATGCACGGATGCGTCCACAGTAGGTTTGGGAGCCGTGCTTTCACACAGGAGGGGATGATAAACTACTTCATCCCGTGTATTTCGCTTCTAAAAGTCTTAGCAGAGCCGAACGTCGTTATCATGTCACAGATTTAGAAGCATTAGCGGTAGTGATGGCTGTACGACGGTTTCATATGTTCATTGACGGCTTGAGGACAGTGGTGCTAACGGACCATCAGCCTCTTCAATCGTAGTAATGTGTCGGCGAGAGTCTTACGATGGTCTCTAGAATTGCAACGCTATAATTTGGAAATTAAGTTCGTAAAAGGGAAAACGAATGTTGTGGCGGATGCGCTCAGTAGGGGAGCCGCGCAAAGGACATGCGTTGAGTCGATGGAAGGATGAATGAATGAGGCAGTGGTGAATTGTATTCTCGAGAGATTCTATTCTATTTCTTCTATTCACAAGAAAAGTGAATGGTTAGCGGAACTCGAAAAAGACGCGACGAATTCGTAGAGGTTTCAGAGGCATACCTCAGGAAGAGTAATTTGGGTCGGGGCTGTAAAACCGGTGCAGATTGCTGATTTTGTCCTGGAAGACGGCGATTTAAAAATGTATCAAGCTGACGGAAGCTTAGTGTATGTGGTACCGAAGAGTTCTCGTTATGAAATTTTCCATGAGGCGCATGCAGGAACCTTTGCTGGACATTTTAGTGCCCACAAGTTACTGAACAGATTAAGAAAGGAGGTATTCTGGCCCACTATGGTGCGCGATATTCACAAATGGACTAGAGAGCGTCGCTTTTTTTTGGGACCGAAACGTAAGGCCCGCGATAAACCGCCGTTCTGAAAACCAAATGTCACGACGAAGCCATACGAGATCGTAGGCGTAGATGGACTAGAGCTGGGTATGACAACAAGCGGCAATCGATACGCAGTTACGGTCATCGACCACTTCTCTAAATTTGCAGCAGCTTATCCAGTACCTGATAAGACTGCGGAAACGATAGCAAAGACAATTTTCACCCGTTGGATTGCAGAAGGGTGCCGTTGGCCGAAGGTTATCATGTCGGATAAAGGGGCAGAGTTCGAAAATCGAGTAATGGAAGAATTGACCAGGATAACAAAGATTGAGCAGGTGACAACGAAGGGGTACAACCCTAGGGAGAATGGTGTTACAGAGCGACTGAATGGAACGATCATAGCGATGTTACGGAGAAGCACAGTAATCCCTATGGAGTGGGATGTCAGATTACCCTTTTGCATGTTTGCGTACAACGTAACACCGCATCAGTCTACCGGGGAAAGCCCGTATTTTGTCCTGCATGGCATAGACCCAAATTGTCCTTCAGGAGTGATACCAAATGGTGGGGTGTCATGGTACACATTGGATGAAAGTAAAGAAGATTACAAAGCGCAGTTGTTGCAGGCGGTTTCGAAGGTTCACGAACGGGTCAGAGAGTACAATGAACGGGTTCGAGGAAAAATGAAATTAGAATTACGACTAACCACAAGGTCGATGAAAGTAAACACCCAAAAGTGGGAGATCGGGTGTATATGTTGTCCCCGAAAGAGAAGGCTATGAGTTCCCACCCCAAACTTACGTGTGAGTGGGCAGGACCGTTTCGGGTGATAGAGACTAGCAACAATTCGGCAGTTATCAGTAGAATCGGGGAAAATGTAGAACCGATACGAGTTCAGTTCGATATGCTAAGAGTGGTACCGCCCTATATTCCAGATGATCGCGTAGATACTATTACAAATAGGGGCAGGAGAGGAAGGAAGCCGAAAGCTAAGGTCAATAGAATAACCAGTTCTTGTTTCAGAGGTGCCGAGATACGTTCGAGCCGAGAAAAAGGTCATCTGGAATTCGTCTGCAAAGAAGGATGTCTGAAGGACGTCAAATTGGAGGAACTGAAAGGAATACAGCTGCCAGGCGCGTTGTCAAAGAGGCCACTGGGAACGCTGTGGAATGCATGGCGGATAGCAAGCATCTTTATAAGGACGGACCTCGAAATGGCAGCGAAAATAAAGTTCTGGAAAGATGGAACAGTTTGTTTAGATGAGGAAGCCCTACAAAAAGTTATTCGACTAGCCTATGACAAGTGCATGGACTGGACCGAGTTTGTTTGCGTCACTGAAGGTATAAAACGGCATGAAAAAATCGAAGATTACGGTTTCGAGAAGACTTACGATGCCGCATTTAAAAAAGTGAAAAAAGAAATTGAAGAGAGGAGAGGGCGAAAAGGCCCATCAAGGACGGATCTACTGCTTTTGCGGCACCACCAGCTGCAACTTTGTTAGAAAGAGATGGTCCCAAGCGAGGAATCTCGACCAGGGTAGCCGCAACTTTTATACAGCTCAGGGAGATTCTCAATGAGTGGTCAGCACACGCGATATGGGTAATCGTTTGGCCTTTAGAGCAAAAATTCAAAAGAGGATGAAATTACGGAAGTCGTTAAGGCTGCGAAAGGCATTTTGAGAGCGGTGGCCGCATAGTTTCGGCTTGGCCTCCAGTCGTTGCAAAGATTTCCGATACGTGAAAAAAGCTAACAGATGTCTGGAAACTACTGGATGCAACTCTGGAAAAAGCGGGCTCTGGACAGTCTTTTTCAGACGGCGAACTCAATCGAGGATGGCAAAGTATTTTGCAAGCTGGGAGTACCAGAGAAGCATCATTGTCATATCACGGAACCGATTGCACAGTGGCCTGTGCAAAGATTTTATATGAAGCGATTCAAAAGAAAAACGGCTGATTTGATACCATTACCGGAACTTAAGAGGATGGAGCCCCAGCTGCTGAGGACAGCAGCTTCGGAGAGGGGAGGCATGTGGGTAGAACCCAGATCGCTGCATCGACCTACCAAGCGCCGGAGTGATCTGAGCGGGAACCAGGATGCTATTTAAGGACGTCAAGAAATTGCAGAAGGGAACGTCTCCGCCCGGACCCCTCCATTCCCCTCTATACTGGACCTTTTTTTCTAATTGTTTTCTTCGCTAGGAGGCTTATACCTCCTGTTGTTCGTTATTTCGTTGCAACCGCGTCGATTATTGTATCGTCGTTATAAAATAAATTGTTATTTGTAATCGTGTGCGCTCTGGCTCATACCGTTGGAAACGGTCGATACTTTCATTACGAATCGACGATTCGGTACAATGTGCTTCTCAATATGCAATTG